CAGTATTTATGTGGCGGAGTCGCGGACTGGCTTGTGGCGGCAAAATTCAAATCGGGATGCATGTAAATATGTTGGCACATATTTACTGACATAATTTTATAAAAATAAAATTATGTTTTTAGACAAATTTCTTTTTTATTTAGGGTACTAAATGGCTATAAAAAACAGAATATAACAAGTGCTCAGTGCTCAGTGCTCACCAACTGTACAATTATGGTGTTTGTTTAAAAAAAAAAAATTTTACATGCTAGTTTGCGTATTTCTCTCTTATTTTGTAGAAAAGAATTCACAACACGTCTCGGAGTAGTAAAATATGCAAACAAAAATAAAATGGCTCGAATTCGAACTGCTAAAGTCATCAAGGGCATACTCTATTGTCGACAAGAAAAAAGTTCGGAACAGTAACCAAGGGCAACAATCCCGATCCGGTTAAATCCGTTGCAACGCCTACTTGTCGATATGTATTTTTTAAATTTGGGGGAATGAATGAGGAGTGTTCAAAAAGCTTTCTTATTATAGCCATTTTATATAGTTTGCCAATACTTGTCTATTGGGGGTGGTGACGTAGGTAGTAGGGCGTAATGAGGTGAATATATAATGTATATTGAGGTCGTATCAGAGTATCAGTGACCGCGGCACGGTTTCTCAAGTATAGATACAGGTCTTTCTGTTTTATTGTACCTGCTCGAAGTTTAGTATCTCGCCATCACTTCCAGGACTTGTGGTGGTCTCCGATAGGTGGCGAAATATGCTCATAGACACAGTTAGTGAAATGTAGATAGGATCTGATATAATTTACTTCGTGGATATTTTGTTCTATCTTAGCATATAGCCATGACTGCGATATACGAACTACCCACTCCAGCCAGTTCCAGTATTTTCCAGGTGTATAGTGATTAGAACTAGTATAGTACTTACCATCAGCAGTAGGTCGTAACCAGAACATCCCGCTGGCTTAAAAGAATACCGTAAAAGTTAGCAGAACCTACAAGTAAAAGCACTTCACAAGACGTGCTGGCCAATTACAAATACAGACCGTGACGATGGCAAAGCACAGAGAATATAAATCGAAAACCACTAGACAATTTTCTACTTGTGCGATGAATGTTCCGGCGTACAGAGTTGGCAGTGAAGCGGCTATGCACCCAAAACCGATACAAGGAAGACCATTCATGTCCATTCCGGGACCTCGGCCCAGTATGGCAAGAAGTAACAGCCATGGGTCGGGTTGGGCACCCAAGAAAGGCGAGAAGGAGGATGACAGACGAGGTGCCGACAAACAAGAGGCACGAGTTGAGCGGGTTGAGCATGTGTATATCACTAAGTATATACACACACACATATACACACACATATACAAATACACACACACACA